ATCTAAGAATAGTTTTCGCAAATAATAAGTAGAGTATTTCTCTAACTACCTAAGAAGATAATAAGTAAGCCTAGCTATCTTTTTGCTCTGCTAATTCTTCTAGTTTTCTTTCTTTCTACTTTATATTCTACCTATACTTCTATAGAATACGCTATACCTAACTTTAGATATATATTCTAGCTATATCTCTAGCGTTTAGTTTTTATGTCTCTACTATCTACAATACTCTAGTAGTAGTGTTTATTTCTTTATATTACTATTATAGTAAGAGAGTTCTAGTTATTTATATATATATTCTATTTAGCGTTTATAATATTTAGAGAGATAGCGTTTCTTATTTTAGCTACTCTATTAGCTTCTATAAAGTATATAGAATCTAAATAGGTTACTTTTAGGCTACTTTACTAATATCTATATACTATGCCTCTATATACTAGACTTTTTCTATATCTAGACTATTTTATGTTACTTCTTTATAGAAGTAATATAGCTAGAGTCTACTTATATATATAGATATTAGCTTTAAGATAGATATACCTAGCTTATATATTAAAGAGTAGAAATATAGTAGAAGAGTAGGCTGCCTATTAAATTAATATACAAGCTTCTAGTAGATATAGAAAATTTAAGTATATTCTCTTATAAAGCTTCTCTAATTACTACTATTACTAGCCTAATTCTTTAGTAAGTTTATAGTAATACAAGAGTATTAGAATAGGTTATAGTAATTGTAGAGAAAGCTAGCGTATTCTAGTTACTACTACACTTCTAACAACAGCGCTAAGATTACTATAAAGGTATTATATCTAATACTATATTTCTGTAATTTGTTATATAGGCTACCTATAGTAAGATATATTATTAAGAAAGATTATACACTATAATTATAGTTAACGCATATATATTCTATACTAATAAAGCTTATAAAATATATTTGTAATAAATAATTCTTGCGCTATAACGTTGTTAAGACACAATATAGCTATGTTATAAATAGTTTCTCTATAATATATTTGTTTTACACGTGTTTTATAGTATAATATTCTAAAACACTAAATAAGAATTGTTGCGCAATATTTGTTTAATAAAGATAGTAGGCAGGTTAGGCAGGAAAGAGCCTTCTAGCTACATTTTGCTAAGATACTAATTTATAGCAAACATTAGATAATAGAATAATTGTCGCATAAATATTGCAATTCTAACACGTTTAACATCTACAACTATAGAAAAATAAGGGACTGCAACACTAATTACTAGTGCAAGGAGCATTTAGGGGTGCGTTAGAACATTTACATCTTATATTTCGTTTATAGTAGCTACAGGCTGGATTCCGGCACCCGCTGTTCTCGCTAAGAGAGGTCTATTTAGTTAAGCAGGCAAGCGAGTAAAAGCACTATTCTAACAAGCGCACTCTAAGTAGATTCGCATAGCAAGCTATGTATGAAAAGTTTATTCCTTCATGCAACACATTATAACATTACCGATAGAACCCTGCACAAGCTTAGATATGCCAGATCAACCCAATGCAGACCCTCCAACCGAATCACCCATGACACCTTTGATCACACCCAGAACGCCAGCGTCAGCGCTCAAACCACGCAAGATAAACGACACACCCTCCCATACGACCAACGCCTCCGCAGGAAAAGAAAAACTCCACTGTCCATCCCTGCGCCATCCCTGATATACCGATCGTAATTACCGCATCCATTTGTCACCCATCTACCGCCTGACCTCAAAATCCCGAAACGTAACCTTCTGATCCGTAACATCGCTCCCACTATCACATCCATCCCTCGGACTAACGCTCGGCGTCGCGTTCCCATCCGTCAGCGCAAAGATGCCCATAACCGTGCCCGTGAAATCCCTCGCACTCAACATCCTCGTATCCACGACATCGACCTGATTCCACCGCCTATCTCTATCCGGGTCGCGAAACTCGAGGGCATACCGCTCTTCTGCGGCTATAATCCGGAGGTCGACGGCGGTTGAAGAGCGGGAAACGGGTTCGGGGTAGGAGGCAGTGTATTCGTAGTCTTTGGATGCGTCGACGAAGTGGACGTGGATGAGGCGGGTGGAGAGGCAGACGGAGATGCTGGCGTGGCGGAGGGGGTCTTTGTAGATGGTTAGGCCGCCGATGGCGTTGGAGTGGGTGGCTTCGTTGTCGAGGAGGACGGTGGCTGTCGCGATGGTTGTTATGCTTCGTTGGCGGCGGGCGAGGAGAGCTAGGGGTGCTGATGCGGCGGAGAGGCTCGAGGTGGTGGGTGTGAGCGTTATTGAAGAAGCCTTCTTGTAGGGCCGTCGTAGAGGCTTGTGCAGGTATACGTCGTCGATGTGAGGTTTCAGTTGCCGGAAGTTCTTGAGCAACTGTGCAGCGGCGAAACCCATTTGCACTGTGCGCGGTGTGCTGAACGACATCCGTGGCTGCTCTATCGTGGGCCATTCATCCTGCGGCCACTCGACTGTTGTGAGAAAGGTCTCGCGACCCATCGGTGCTGACTCCTGGTCTCCTCGTACTCCTAAAACTGCCGCCCACCATTCACCATTCACGTCTTGGAAGATCTCACCGTGACCAATGTTCTGTACATATTCGTTCGTGCCATCTGCGGTCAACACAGGGTTATGCGGACATCGCCCATACGGACCCCATATGTCTCTCGAGCGTGCTATTGATAGCATGTGATGCGCGAACGTTCTGCCTTGTGCTACAAGTAAGTAATACCAGCCGTCTTTCTTGTAGATGTGGGGGCCTTCGGCATCGCCATCTGGAAAGGCACCCAAGATTTCCCGGGTCTCAGATAAGGGTTGTCCGGTATTCACATCGATCTCAAATTGCTTGATCGTGCAAGTAGGCTCCCTTAGGCGGTTCATCATCCATGAGCCTTGAATGTAGGCGCGATTATCGTCATCGAAATAGAGAGAAGGATAAATGCCGTAGAACTCAAAGGGTATCGCATCGCTCCAAACATCCGACCAGATGTCTCTTGTATGAATTAAGAAGTTGTCTGTTCGCCAGTTGTTGCTTTCGGGGTAGCAGTTTGTACAGACGATGTAGAAGACGCCGTTGTGATGACGGATTGTGGGTGCGAATAAGCCTCCTGATGCTACCATGACATTGCCGTCGTTAAGCGGCATTGCCGCTGTAACGGCATTGCTCAGGTCGAGTTGTGAGGATCTATTGATTGCGTTTCCTAGAACGCTTCAGCCGATGCCCACGTCTTTGTAGGATGCGCACAGAAACGAACCAATGTGTTTCCAGTCTTGCAGATTTGTTGATGCATATATCGGAATACCTGGGAATAGATGAAAAGAAGAAGTTGCGAGATAGTAGATTCCGTTCACAAGGACGACAGATGGATCAGGAGCGAAGCCAGGTATGATAGGATTCCGGAACATGCTTCAGGCTTTCAGTGTGCACAATAAGACAGCGAGACAGCGATCGAGAGGTTTGCAAAGTTCGGAGGATGACGCGACGTGGACTGAGTCGCGTCGAGCGGTTCCGATCGGAGAGAATTACCAATTGCGGGCTTGATAGCAAAGTGGATTCGGTGTTCGGTGTCGGGTTGGATTGCTACTGCCTTAAGTTGAAATCCCACTCTGTCGTGCTGTATTACTCCATGGAGAAATCTGCGTCCCGTGTTTTGCGCCTCCGTTTCACCACGGAGAAATATGGAGCGCTATACCAGAAGCGTAACGGAGTCGCTCGCTCCACCGCCCATTCGGCTGTAATCCGCGAGCCACAATCCCCGGCAGTTGACAAATCGTGAGTAGCGCGTATGCATGATTCGGGGGTCGCCATTTCGCCGTGGAGGAATTCCACGCTACCTCGAACGCTGATGCGAGTGCAGACGAGTAGGTGGCTCCGCGACGCGAGTATAAGTATCGCGACTGCAACGACGTTTTCATGTGATTCTAGCGCATCATTCAGGTTGCGCGCGATTTTTTTCTGGCTTTTCGTTACCACACTGATGATGCCTAATATTGGAAGGGTCGGATGAGGAGACTGCCCACGACAAAAACGCACCAATACGGACCAGGGATCACAAACGTTATCGTGAAAGCCTAGGTCTTTGCGATCTTGGGCAGCGAAAGTGAACGTTGGCTTGGTTGATGTTTCGTCGGGTTTCTCTCGGATCAGTGGGTCGACTATTTCGGAACGGATGTTTTCTCATCTTCCCGCTTCCGATCAACTATGGTTTCGAGCTTGCTTTGGTCGGCAGCATCATCCCTATTCCCGCATCCTTAGATCATTCGAATCGAACGACAGCTAACGGCGCCGTTGAGATAAGCGCATGCGATCGGTAAGTACCGAATGCTGCGACAAGTGTCGGTATCTTGATGGCTGCATTTGACGATGCTGTATCGCAGAGAAGATCGGTCGTCACAAGGTAGCCATTCTTGGTCGTTTGCATTGTATTGCTGGAATCTTCGTCTAGTGTCTCGACAACTATGGTGTGCTGCTTCCATGCGAAAAGCTCATCGGCGCACTGGATACGGCTTTGAAGAGTCGCTCGCTTCCGTACGTGTCGCGGAAATCATATCCGACAATCTGCGGGGTATGTGTTTGACTTGGTGGTGGATTAATTGGCCTTGTTTCGTAGGTTGGGCGACAACACTACTCCTGCTAGGATGCCATGATCGTTGCCGGCCAATGGTCTTGCGTACACGCCGGCTGTGGTGAATCATACATTAGAAGCGACTGGGGATGTCGCGTGCCCGCCCTTGCTCAACTACCACTCCCCGTGCTGATGGCCACCATAGGCACGTTACACCTTCCCGAGTCTCATGTATAGCTGATTTTCCACAAATAGCATGCGAAAGCCATGATGTCTCTTTGTAAGTTCAACGGGCAGAATTGCGAATTTGTACCATTGCACAGGGAGTGGCAGTACAAGAGGAGGGCGTAATGCGATCCGAGGGTGCGTCGTATATCGAACGCTTCAAAAGCGTGAATTTGCGCTGTACACTGATAGTACGTCTTGAGTACATTGTCAAGTAGTCTAGAAGCCGCGATTATAGTCGAGCTCCTCGGAGACGCGAGAATCCAGTCTCGATAGCACATCTAAGAGGGTGAGGAACAACGACTTCGCACGTTCCTTCAGGGATGTGTTATCGGTCTCTTGTACAATGCTGAGTAGAGTTGCTCCCATTCGTCGAATCATTTGCACCTGCGATGCTGTCAGTGATACTGCGTGGATGAAGATGAAGTAAACCTACGCAAGGCTCTCCATTCACTTGAAGGGACTCGAAGGATGCTTCTGATAGTATGCGGACCATGTCACTAGCGACATCGATCTTTCTCAACGCAATCCCGTATGCCCGGCCAGGAACGCCTAGGTGCTCAGCTACTCCGCCATCGTAGAATCTCTGGAGCAGCACTAGCTTCAGACAGTAGTAGGTGACGCATAGATTTACTCTTTGAATATCAAAGGCTCGTTGAATCCTGGCCATGGTTGCTGGATCAGATGTATTCGTGGTGTCCGGCACCTTGACATCAAATCGGAAGTGATCGATCATGCCGATGAACTCAAGGTAGTCGGTGATGACTATCGTGTGTTGAGGGCCAACCAACGCAGAGCCATCCGTAATGCCTTCGTTCCAAACATCCAGAGTGTCGAACTTGATAATGATGTCGGATGCTTTCGTCCATAGGTCTTGGCAAAGATCAAATCCCTGGCTGACCATGCTCTCTATATCGAGAGCGTTTGGAGTGGTCGAGTAGTCCAGCAAAGGCGCGTCAGATGACGGACGACGCCAGTAAGATGTGGTGATTTTAGCTCCTACACAAAGGCGATGAAGCGATATTGGACGACTGATCAGGATGGATGCGGACCTGTCGACAGCATGAATCTGCCAGAAGATGTTCTTCAACAGATGTTCCTCCACTGGATCAAGATTCTCGAATGAAGATTCTTCGTAGAGCCGCATTTCTTGTGTCAGGCGTATGGCTTCCCCTAGTACGTGCCAGCCTAACCTCGTCTTTCCAATAGCACGCAAGGCGTTGGCATGGTAGAATCTCGTCACCAGAGCGGTATAGTCGGGCTGCTCGATATCTTCAAGATTTATGTCAAGTCAGCCAAAGTCTTCGTTCAGAACGTTGAGAACGTTTCACAAACCGTAATCTTGATGTAGCTTCAGCGTCTCCCGTGAGGCTGTAAGGAATTGACGTCCAATCTCTTCCCGCATCGGGAAAACGGACGCAGGTAGCATGAGAGCCGTGCACGCACAAATTGCTGTCAGGAGTGTGCGGTTACGTGATGACACAATATCTCCAGAATCGAGACCTGGTGATTGCGATGCTGATGAGGGATTGAGAACGCCGTGGGCTCCATCACCTTCCAAGAGCGGGACCATGGCGCGAATGGACGGTTCGTGAACAGTGGGTGCTATAGGAAAGAGGTAATGCATATACAAGGTGATCAACTGATCCGCAATGATATGGGGTGCAAGCCCCGTCGGTAGTTGCACGTGAGGTGAGGACTGTGAGCGTCTCGCGGCATTCGAAGAAGCGCCTCTTGACATGCTTGTCGGGGTCTGCACTTGGATTGTGGGATTACAAGAGCGGATATCGCGTTGGTTGGCCTGGCTAGCTGCAGCTGACATTGATCCATGATCAGAAATTCTGAAGGTCGGTTGCGTGGTCGCATCTCGTTTGCGCTTTGGTCCTCTCTTCTGAGGTGCTATTGTGTAGACACACTCCAATCGAGAGATATGGCAATTTGAACATGGTGTAGATATTGCATCGCACTACTGGTGTTAGCGAAGTTTCTAGATGTGCCTTCTTCCGGTTGCATGTGCGTTCAATGTCTCACCCTGACTTTGCGACGTTTGCAGGCATCGCAGGCTCTTTTCGTGACAGGTGCGTTCGACCTGGCGTTTTCATCAGGCACATTCACATCACCATATGAAGCATCTGGAAGTTCGTCTAGAGATGTCATCGGATGTGTTGTGGCTCCTGGAGACTAAAAGGTGCAGGCTGGACGGTCGCAGGGGTAAATCTCCGTGGAGAAATGAGGATGGGGAAATTCAAGATCTTCCGGGGTCGGCGAAACTCCGACGGTAGGCCATGTTGAGCGATAGCGCCCCCACCCCTGCGCATGACGTCGCGACGCTGTTCATGCATCGCGACTTGCTGAAGTCCTTTTGCTGTCGCGGATGTCGTCAAGCATGAGTTGAAAGCGATGAGAGACGATTTGAGATTGACTCAGTGAAGTCGTAGGGGACGCCAGTTCCCCAATGCTCTCTTCCTTACGCCCAGCCTCCCGAGCAGCGCAACATGTCATCTCATGGTGCTCGTGCGGGCGCGATGCAACTCTTCCAAGGTTGCATCGATCTCTTAAATGAAGGATAACGCTGATAGAATGACTCCACGGAGTGTGTGTAGAATGGTTTGATCTGATCTGTAGGTATTGAGGGTTTTGCAAAGGTCAAAGCAGAAGTTGCTAAAAGAAAAACGTGTTGATGCGCTGCTGACCTAACTTTCTCTTCGTTTTCCTTCACTCATCATGGATTACGACAGTGAATGAATGATATCAAGTCCAATCAGATTTCGGCAGTGACATAATGAGGACGACGTAGGTATGGTGAAGCTTAAGGTAGCTCAGCTGTCGTTGAGCCAATCATCGTCGACCAGTGACTTACCGAAGATTTCGACGCCAGCATATGGAAGGGCCTCTAGACCTGCAATTGTTTCCAAATGCTATACAAAGTTGCAATAGTTGCGAATATTCACAAATATTGCGAACAATGGCAACTCCATGGATAGCTAGCACCATCTTATCACGGCACGTTGTCTATTCAACACCGAGCGTGCCCGCCTCCACACGCCGAGACGACGTTCTAGACACGACGAAGCAAAACGAAGGATCTTCCAGCAGGACATTTGTCTTTTCTGACTTGCTTCGTAACAACCACGACTTGACTGTTACAGCTGTTACTCAAGTGACTTACGCATGGAGCTGACGTCTTGGGACAGGGCCGCATAATTCGCGACGCGATCAACCATTGTGCATCGAGTCTGTGCCTTACGATACCCACACTATACTCCTTGCTCAAGGATGCAGGTCGAGGCAAATGAATTGGTACTGCTGGAAGGTCCAACCTCTTGTTCGGTAGCCGTTAGACTTGAGGCAAGATTGATGCTTGTTAGATCCTACTTTCCCGAAGGAACGTGGTACGCGTACCCGTGCCGCAATTTGATGCGCCGACCACACAGCAAACCGGGGGAACGACTGGATCGAGAGTCTCGTATTTTTCGGTGGCGTAAAGAGGAGGGGCAACAGCGCGCGATGAGTACGTGCAGTGGACGATGAAACATGATGCCAAAGTACGGTCAACAGAACAGCATTCCTTCCGACGAACAACAGGCCAGTGAACAGTAGCATCGAATGGAACGTGTTGGCCCAAGACGTTTCCAGATGGTATCATCGGCTGTGTTTCGGTCTCTTCGCTCCCCGATTTCAACGCCACAGAACCCAATCTCGAGCCTCTCTTTTGTTGATACCAATGCTCCCCATGCCCTTGTCCGGGTCGAGGTCTGGATTTCGACAGCCGGTCGTGTTGGATAGGATCATGCGCTCATAGCCGCACTGCAGGTCGCTTAATAGTGACATGCCCTGGCTTCGGTATCTTGCCGTCATCGTACAGGGTGAACCTTCTACTCAGGGAGGTAGTGCGCGTTTCAGCCTTTAGTATGAATGCAGTTGAACATGCAAAGCGATTTGGAGTCGGGGTCCGCTTAGTTTCCGCGCTACACAATATAGCTCGGTATTGCATGCTTGAAAAGTGTTCCTGAACAGAAGTGGGTATTTCGCATATGGTAAGAGGCACTGTAGATTGCGGTGCCTTCCAGGTCGTTCGGCGCATATCTGCCATTGAGATAGGGGAAGAACGATGGGGACGGCTAATGCCCGGCACGCTATGCTGGTTTGATTGCTAGCGCGGGCGGCTAGTGGCGTGCCGTTCCCGAACCTGCCAGGTGGAGTTCACACACTTTCACCCACGTCTGCGCCCCAACACAGCTCAATACCTGTCGCTATGCAGGCTCTGGCCCCCCATCTTCTGGGAAATTCACATTTGCCGACTTGTTATTTTCGCGTTAGAGCGTCATCGATGCCTCTACTATCACTGCATCGCCCATACTGCAGCCTTGACGCGACTGTGTGGCTCACGCCTTGGCCTTCTTTTATTATGCCCGAGGCTGAGCGTGCCTGGGGTAGCACCAGTCTGCGACGCCTCGTTGAGTACTATTTCTCGACAACGTGGTCGCACAAGATCAGTAGCCTGAAAACTAAGGTGTCACGAGGCGGGCAGCTGCGGAGTGCACAGGCGAGTGTTGGTTGATGATCGGCCCGCCATACCTCAGCGTCGGCCAGACAGTTCTTCCCGATACACCTGCGCGAACCGAGGAATCTGATGGGTCTACGGGTTTCAAGATCACGTTCAGTCAAAGAGTGCCCTGGTTTATTTGCAGCATGCAACCGTTATCCCAGGCTATGTCAATCGCCATCCAGCCAAGTTGAAGGTAGAGTTCTACCTGTCCTACGTAGATCCAGCCCTAAACTATACCGAATGCTGCTTAACACGCTATTGTGTATCTGTACATCGGGTATCTTACCGACACGTCACCAGATCAAGCATGCGAGGCTTGGTTCGCACCGCAACAAAATCGATTAGCGTTGTTCTTTTCGTGCAGCAGAGCCGAACTAGGTAGGTCATCTAGGAAAACCCCACGCGTCTATTGTGTCAGTCACGTAGGGAGAGACCTTCCGCAGATGATTCGCAGGGGTCGATGACTGGGAGGCCTGGCGCCGCGACCCTGAACCAATGTTGCTGCAAGACAGGAAGACCTCCCTGAACAGGTGGAACGTTGAGACCTTCGTGGAGGGTCAATCTATCCAATGCGGTCAACTCATCTGCCCGCGACCGCAGCCTCAGGTCACCGAGCCTCATCGAATACCGACTGTGTGGCACGGTATCTATTGTCATAGCCACCTCTGCACAGGGGATAGCTTTGAGCATGCGATTGCTTCATCATTAGAGAGCCACTACCACAAGATGCGCACGACTCACTTCTCTGGCACCTTGGTGCACACACAGTTCAATGTTCCTCGGGAGGATTTTCAATCAGAATTGGCGCGCAACAACACGCATATCTGGTTTGCGCGCTGCCCGGTATACGCTAGGCTCGATGAAGCATGTATGTTCGCCTGTAAGCCTTCAGCCCCCATGTTTCCATTCAAGGCACTTCCGGCGCGATGGGTGCACTATTCCCTGTTCATGCAGAGCCAAGCATCAGCTCGACGCCTAGCCTAGCAGCCACCTGCATCGCGGATACGCCTACAATGGAGTGGATCCAACCACCATCGTTCTTACATCAAACCTGGTTCAGACTGGAGCTATCTGATCGCCCATCATTCTATATAACATGTGCTTCTCCATGTCTACTTCCGCACTCCATCCCACGTTCACAACATCACACAACACAATGTTTCAGCCTTCGACTCAAGCTCTCGCACCGTGCCCACCACAATCACCTCCTACCGAAGACATGGTCGTTGGGCCAGGAATCACCTTCTTATCGACTGGTTCGCATGGGGAACAAAAGCCTCGCAAGATGAGAGCTTCCTGTGACGCTTGCTCTCGTGCTAAGGTACGCGATCTACCCTTTCATCGAATTGACAACA